CGCTCAGATTGTGCTACCTCCCATTAAAAAGATAGGTAGCACAAAACGATAGCGAAAAATGCTACCTATCAGATTGTGCTATCAGCATCTTATTCATGTGGTTTGAGGCTTTTGTAATGTCCATACCTACCCCTACCCTAAACCTACCCGTCCACACCTACCCTTACCCTAAACTTACCCCTAAAACAATGTAAATATATTTTTGGAAGCACAATCTGATAGGTAGCATGTTTCCTAAGTCTGAAGGACCTGATTAGTTGGATCAGGTGTGTTTAATTAGGGTTGAAGCTAAACTCTGCAGGGCTGCGGCCCTCTAGGAATTGAGTTTGACACCAACGACCTACACACACGCAAATCCGGTGAGAGAGAACAAAGTTGTGGAACTCCAGTAAGTAAGGCTGTCAAGGCTATTTTATTCACTTAAACATCGGATGAAGTGATTATTTTCTCTTTAATACAGATGATGCCAATGTATTTTGCAATGAGTCGTTATGTTAGCAATGATAACGTTACTTGCTTGACAGAAAGGGTTGCCAGGTTTTCACAACAAAACCCTCCCAATTGATACTCAAAACTAGCCCAAATTAACTACGTTTCAAGGGGGTCGCCCGGTAAAAATCGTGTTCCGAGGGCTAAAATACATGTTATTGGGGTCGCTTCAACCCGCGGACATGAAAAATAACCCACGGCAACAGTGATAAAGTAGCCCAATTCCACGGGAAAACCGCGGACTTGGCAACACTGTATTAACGTCTACAACGGACACGAGCGCTGTCGCGGCACGACCACAACAGCTTGACGTTGTCTAATTTGGCACAGTCTCCCCACTACACTAATAGTAGTGCTTTCCTCTGTGCATACATATCCTTTACAAGTACAATTTTAGCTGTATTGTTTGTGTCCCCTTCAAAAATTGCTCTTGAGAAATGTTATGTTTATTGTCCCCCCCAACTGTTAGACGAAATTTACGCCCCTGGACGTGACAGACAACTAGCTGTCCAGTCCTGTTCCGTTCACACAGCGCGTGTGTTCAGAGAATGCGGTTGTGAATCCTGAAAATTTACAGGTGTGAGTTCGGTTACAGAATGCGGTTGTCACACCTGTAAATAACCAAACTGTGTGCGAACGTAACCGTGTTAAGGACTCAAATACAGGACTGACAACCGTATTCTGCTGCTGTGTGAACGTAGCCTATAGTAAAATAGTAATCGAGTGAAATATTAATACAATTTAAAATAACTGTTTCTAGTTTAACATTAAGTGTTCCTGTGATTGCAAAGCTGAATTTTCAGCCGCTATTACTCCAGTCATGAGTATCACATGATTCTTCAGTAATATGTTGATTTGGTGCTCAATTAGCATTTTTTATTATCATCATAGTTGAAAATGTTTTTTTTTTTTTTGTGAAGCATTTTATTTGTATCTTTTGTAATAATGTAAATGTCTTTACTGCCAGATCAATTTTTTTGATCAATTTAATGCATTTTAATGTAATCCGTTTTTATTTCTTTAAAACCCATAACATTGATGGGAAAAGTATAATATACATTACCATACTGTACCAGTAATTAATGTTTCAGACAAAGATCTTTGATTTATTATTATTATTATGGACCCACTTTATATTAAGTGGCCTTAACTTTAACTTGGCCTTGTACTTACATTTAAATTAATAATTTGGTACAATGCACTTATTGTGTACATACATGTTTTTACATTGTACTTATATTTTTAAAATACCTGCATGTAATTACATCTGTAATTAATTTCTGTAATTACATTTATAATTACACAGTTGACC